TATATTTGGAATTTGGAGCAATGAATAAATAGGAATTCTAATTACTATTACAAAAAATGAATACGATTAAAATGGATATGTGTAATTATATAGAGTTATTTGAAAAAAGAAACAAAAAACGAAAAAAAATATATGAAAAACAAATATTTTACAAAAAAAGAAGTAAAAGAAAATGAGAAAACTGAATTTTTTAGATAAAGTTTCATAAAAAAAAAAATTATGCATTTAATATACATAGTTAGAGATTGCAATATATTAAGAAATATGGAGCACAAGTGTGCATACCTATATGAATGTTTAGAAAAAACTTAAGAGAGAACTCGATGGATAAATTAGCACAGTTTCACGCGTTCCCGTGTCCCGCTAACTTTCGCACTGAAAAGCGCGTCTTGCCAAGAAAGCGTGAGAAGCAGATATAAAACAGAGAATTCTTGTTTCAGATTTTTTCATAACCTAGTTTGGTGTATTAACAACTTATACTATTTTAAACCTCATTATACTTCGAAAGTGGTCTCTTCCTTCTCTTTTATTTCGCAACACCATGTAAATCGTGCATTCTTTCAAGGACTTCCAATATTTCTATGAATATTCAGATGCATATTATAAAGCTCTGTATTTCTATAATTCTTTATATTTATATACATTTTTATTTTTATTAAAATTCATTCATAACAAGTAATTGTTTGAAGTAATTATCTCTTTCTTATTTTTAATTATTTCTTAGAATTTATATATAACATATTTTTTGGAACTTATTTATATTATATAAATAAATTAATTATTGTTTTTAATATGCATATAATATTAATATATTCATTTGTTTTATACTTGTTATTTATTTGTAAAATAATTATCTAAAAATATAAATTTAAATATTAATAGATTTTAAAAAAAAGAGATGAAAAGAAAAATTCTTTAAAAATATATATTAAAAATGAATGAAAGATATAGCGTAGCACTTTTAATGTATCGCAAAATAGTTGACGAAAATCTCAAAATATTAGTCTTGAATTTTAACATAGTAAAATTTCCCTGATTTTAACATTACATAGTAACCAGAAAAATAATTTATTATTACTTTACATGATACATTCTTCACAAGAGAATAATTTCAAGAGAATAAATAACAAACCAAATAATCCAGATTGCATTCTTCGATTTTTATACTATAATTTGGCTTTAAATAAAGCAATAATTGTTATAATAAACTATAATTGCCAATAAATAATATCAAATAATATTGGAGATTCATTAAAATTGTTTGTTAAAATTTGTTGTTTGTTAAAATTTGTTAAAATTTTTTGATTCAAAAATTATACAAGCGTCTTTTTTAATGTTCAATAATTTTCAGTAAATTCAATTTATTTTATTACGAGATAAAAAAAAATGCCTTTCATAATACACCAAAGAATACTTTTTAAATGTAGCATTCTAAAATCAAATATATATAAAGAGACACTATACATTTATCATATAATTTATAAAAATAGAAAGCATTTCTTGGAAATTGCAGACATGCTTATATAGTTGGTACAAAATTGGTCAAGTTGGCCAATTGATCCGGGCTACTCCATGCGTTATTTATACCTATCTTGATAATGATTAGTTCAATAGGAACTTCCTCCGTATTACCTGTGACCTCTTTTGTTCCAGTTCCACTATTTTACTATTCGAACAAGCACTTATTATAAAAGAGTTACTACGATTCTTCGTATGGGAATACAATCTAGAAAATCGTTGTGGAAGGCAATTTCTGACCAACTTTGAACAAAAGAATGATTTTATTTATTTTGCGAATTAAATTCTTAAGAAATATATAGAATCGCAAAAAAACTTAATAAAGACTATTATGAATAAAGACTATTATTTTTTACATTTCCTAATTAAAAGATTTAAATTAAAAAATTTCTTAATTGAAAATATTCTATGAAATTTTTTTTATAATATTATATGTATATATATATACATAATATGTATAAATATATGTATAAATTGTGTTTCATATATTTAAATTATATTTTATTATTAAAAATATATTATATTTTTCAAAAAGAATTAAAAAATTATATAATATAAAAAATTTATAAAAGATATAAAAAAATATTAAAAACAATATATTCTATTAATGCCACAATTATTTCTACAATCAGAGCAGAGTATGAGTTTGAAATCACGACTCAGAATCAAAGTATCCACAACCAAGTACCGGAAGTGGAGGCGTCAGTAACATTCGACAATTGCAACTGATAAATTACATAAAGTACAATTCTCTATTAGCATATCTAAAAATAACTCTTCAATTCAAAAAGATTAACCAGACAAAACCATATCATTTTATTTAAATCGATTTTGACATAATTATATAATTATTGTTTGAAAATATATTTTCTCATTTTTTCTTTCTTAAAAAGTTATTCGAAATTACAAGCATGATATATGAACCTCGTGAACATTAATTTACCAGAGAAAAATAAATAGGGATAAAAATCGGATAAAAAAAATTTCGATCTTCTAAAATCTGCTTTTCAAAGTCTCCATATGTGAGTTCCCCTTCAGGGAAAAATGTTATATGTTCAACAGATGTTGAGGGGAGACTCCAGTGACAGTGGTAGGTAAAAAAAGATATTATAACAACGATTAAAAGAGAAAGGAAAAAGTAATTTTCAAAAAATAACGACTATCCTAAAATGAAATTCCATTCGTTTCGAATCCGCAGAAAAGTTCTTGAATTCTTTTATTCTTTAACTATAATATATAAAATATATAAGAACATTAATTTTAATTTCGTTAAATAAAAATGGTTCGTTTTTTTAAAAAAGAAATTATAATTATAAATTATCTTTAAAAAATTGAAAGTAAAATATTCATTTCAAGTTATTATTTAAAAATATCTTAATGAAGGATATTATGGTGAATTATGAACTATTTTTTAACAAAATTCATTCACGTATAATACCGTTCTACAATATATTATATATTATTATTTAATTATTATTCAAACAAAATTTCATAATATATAGAAAGAAAACAATAACGCCATCTACTTGTTTTCAAGAAGATCTACAATAAGACGTCCTGATTATTTATCATTTGTTTCACGACCCGTGACCAATATTGCCCTCTCTGCACCATGCTGTCGACGATATAAATAAATCGATGCAAAAACGTGTATAAACACAGAGATAAGTGCTTATGTAGTGTGATTATCCCGAAAGAAAAAAAAGAAATTATCTCCGTCTTTTCTTGAGTACAAGATCATCATCCAGAACATGTTAAATATGTTGGCACCTAAAAATATGACAATTCTTCATAGCGTATTAAAGATATTGTTTAATATAATATGATATCGATATTGTATTTGTAGAGAAGCGATGCAACACATAGTATGAAGCAATGATTAATAATCGACGCCTCAATCACATCTAGTGAATAGTCCCGTTGCGTACGTTCGAAGTTCGAAGGAGTCTGCTACGCGTCCTTTCCATCCCCA